ATTTCAAATAGTTAATTTGATACTAATATCGATATATTTTTGTCAAATTTTTATGATATCTTCAAACATATATTTTATTCAAAAATAAAAACATCGAATCGCTTTCTCAAAATCACATAAAACCATATTATAATATCGACTAAGATAAAGAATAAAATGAAATATTAAAATCACGACGTATCTCGCAATGTATATTATAGATAGAGAGAGGGAGTAGACTAAAAGCTGAAACATAACAAGGAAAGTAGAGAATCCAATATGTCTAACTAGAATCATCATCCTCATTTTCCCAATCAAGATCCTCATCTTCTTCTTCATCATCACAGTTTGTCCATGAAATTTCATCTTCACCCTGCACATTACACTACAACTTGTTCATGCTTTTAAACATTTACAACCCCCAAATATATCCTCAAACTAACCTGGCTAGCAAGCACCTCATTTTCATCACAACCACCCTATACACATCAAGCCACAAAATTGAGTATTAAGCATGTCAAGGATTTCCTAATCAGTAAACTGCTATGTATTTGCATCCACCATAAAAGGAACACTTACATTTTCTGCTTTCATTTGCTTTATAGTATTCTCCAATTCACCTACATGTTCAGTGAGAGCCTGCATGGTTTACATTTAAGAGACGTCCCGAATTATAAATACTTGCAACTTTCAGTGCAACGATATATAATTCATTAAGAAATTGAGAAATAAAGGTAAAGAAACCTCGTATCGCTGCAAGGCCTTCCAACGTTTCAATGCTCGAGCCTTCGAAGGAAGGTTTCTTGGCCTAATACTGATTGGCCTCTGATAGTTCTTTCCACGATAGTAAATGATGGCATAACCTTTGGGAACCCTTACAATGTCTATCAATATCCCACCACTTTCGAACTCCAAAAATCTTGCTGTTTCTTCAACAAATTCAGTATCTTTTTGCTTTGATATAAGTTTTACAACTTCTCTATGTTTCCAGTGCAAATGCATGTTCTCAATAACACCATCGAAGACACCACGAATACCTGTAAATTAACTTAGGCAGGACATTAAAGTTTCAGAACAATACTGTCTCCATTCCAGAAAAGGGCCTGTATTGAACTTCCGAAATCAAGCTGCAACTTCCAACATGAAAATTGATATGAAAGACGCTAGTTCATTAGTAGCAAAACATTTGAATTTCAAGATTTAATAGTTCAGTGTGATCATCATTTTTTCTTCTAAAACCATAAAATATCATGTCTAATTCAGATTATTCTTTAAATAGCTAACTTGACTCCAAAATTTCAAACTTGGCTTCTTTTCTGGAAACAGGTAGTACAGAAGAAGCATAATGTCATTACAAGAATTTACCAAGTGGTAAATAGGGCTTCATTCGTAATCCAATTCTTCTGAACATAACACGTTCCTCATCCGTGATTGTTTCCTGGTCATCAGGAGCACCAGAAGGAAGCCAGGATTCCCGTATCTTAGCTAACTCTTTATCTGCTTTAAGCCTTTTAGACTGGGCCTATTCATTGCATCAGGAATTTAATAAAGTGAGAAGTCCGATGAGAATAAAGTATAATGAGAAAAAAGAACAATTAAACATAAAAAAGTGAACATAATAAAAGTCAAAATACAAGCATAATTGTATTTGTGATGAAAAAAAATGTTCCTCAGCCTAACAAAGGTGGTCTCATTTGATTTGCCATGATATTAAAATGTGTGGTTGACACTTGACACCATAAAAGTTGTGAACAAATCACCATTTTTGCACCATGTGATAGCCAATTAAGGCACCAACTTTTTTCAAGAAAAATGAGTAAGAAGGAGAACTGAAGCTCTAATTTCCCTTGTCAATTTTGTCTTTTTAGTTAAAAAAGAGAAAAAGAGCCAGTCCCCTTACTTGGAAGGGGCCTCAATTGGAACGGGATGCTTATCTGTGGCTTTCCCTAATAGAAATAGGCCCTATTTTCACAGGAAGAGGTTACTTGATGTAGTAGAAAAGGAAATTATGGACAGTAAAGAAAACTGTTGCTTGCCCTTTAACAGATCCTCGACTTCCAAGAACTCACTCCAAATTAATTTGAAAAAAATTAAGAATGGTGAACTTTAAAGAAGAAAAATATCAATCTGGAACTTCGTTACCGTTTTGTCATGGTTATTAATGAACTGCTATTTAATAAGTATCTTTGATGGAAAACAATGAGGAAAATACTTACAATAAATAACTTATGCTCAAGTTTCTTAACAACTCTAGTTATCTTTGTTTTGGATGCTTCTTCTATCATCTTCTCTTGTTCTTCACTAGTTTTTTCTCTTCCCCATTGTGCTTGAGCCTGATAAAACTCAGCGAGACTGCCTGCAAGGGTTTCTCCATGTTCAACGCTTGGAGCTGCTTCTACTGCCCCATTCCGCACCTTCTCTTCTGCATCTTGTATCTCTTTTGTCATTTCCTGTCTTTCTGCTAAAGCAGTAGCCACATTCGTAGGAACAAAATCTTTCCCGCGGTAAATGACAATGTAATATTTGTTTCTGAGCAGTAGGACGCCTCCTGTTAGTCTCTGCAATATTTCAGGTGTTAGAACCGGATCATTTTTTAAATTCATTTATTGCCGAACACTTTTTCCTTCTGGTTAGTATATCACATTTTTTGTTCAAGAAGCTGTAGTTTATCATGTGTGTGTATCACCAGTATAATGCACTTAATAAACCAGTTCCAAAATTCTAAAGATCTTCTTCCACAATAAACTTATTTAACCAAAGGGCCTTTGGCCTAGCGGTATCGTAGTCTTTGGCTTCCTAGGAGGTTAGGGGTTCAAACCTCACCAAAGGTGAGGAGGATGTGTGAGTTTATTTGTTGCATTTGCCGTATTTAAATATTATATACTTCAAAAAAAAAACTTATATAGAAAAAAACAAGTGCTTAATTAATTTTTTTTTAACACCAACCAGGTTGATTGTGCAAGGCATCTAGATCAAGTTCTTTAGAGTTAATTTACCTGACCAGTACATCAAAGATGATGGATGTCCAAGGTTGGAGGTGGTGATCACAAACTCATATAAAGGAATATAGCAAATTAGTTATTTAAAAGACATGGCTTATTCATAGGTTCTAATATAAAGTCAAATTCAATAGAGATTGATGAAATGTTACACTTTCTTACCTGATACTTACGGCTTTTAGGTTATTCAAGTTATTCTATAAGTAAAGGTATTGTAATCTTAAACCAAAAGGGTGGTGCCTGATTGGTTTGAGGTTGGACCCCAAAGTTCAAAAGGTTCAAATCCAAGGAGAAATAAAGATCCCCTTGTGGCCACGAAGGTTCAAATGTGGTGACTCCAGGCTACCCGCAAAGCAGGTGGTTGCCTTGGGATTAGTTGGCTCGCATAGCGGGTTGGATATCCAGGTTAATAAAAAAAAAGGTATTGTAATCTTTTAACATGTAACTTGCTCTCAATATATTGTATTGAGTTGTACTCGAAATTTTATAGATCGGATATTGAATTAATGAAATAGAATATAAAGTGCTCACTGAGAATCATATCTATACTCTCTCTCTGAAGAATCTTGGGACTGATTCTCAAAACATCTTAGGCTTTTGTAGTGGCCTAGTTTATCTTGGTTCTCCTCCCTATTTTATCAATCTCTCCCTGTTATCAGAGTGAGATCAAAGTAAGGTTTTGTTGAGGTATCTTACGTGGTGGATTATTGTGGGAAGAAGAATATCAACAACTCATGCCAACGCAACCATTATAATAAACTCTAATCATTGCAACCACCTCCACCAACACTAGCCATTATAGGAAAAGTAACTATAAATGTTGGTTTAAAAGAGAGGTGTTAGAAAAAGTAAGAGGAAGTATCATAACTTTTTGATCATAGAGCATCCTTAACTTTCATTCAGGTTTCTAGTAGTAAGCACCAAGGGCAAGTATGCTTTTCTTCTCAAAAAGGTATTTCTACATCACACAGATTTTAGGTTCTTGCTATAGTTTGATTGATTTAGTAAGTTTAAGGTCTTCTAGTGAACCCATCCCATGCAATGAAGGTGAAACTTGTTTTCATGAGAACGGCTCCTTAACTTGTTCTTCAATTTCCTGTGATGTTGAACCTTTCCCAGGGAAAGAATGTTATAACCAAGGCACTTTCTGTAGTTTGTGTTTCTTGCATGCACAAGTTTTCAGTATTTGTGGCATTTTTGAAGAGCATTTGGCAAGTTTACATTCATTCTTGTGCCTTAATACAATTTTCTGCCATGAGTTTATTTAATCCCTACCTTTATCATTCATAAAGTATACTTTCGGGTTCAAGTCATAACATACAGATTTATCATTAACATTGAAGTAGCTGTGCCGCATGAGTTCATAATTTTCCTCACAGTGGCCCACATAATCTATGTGCTTCCTGAGAGCATCATAAGCAACTCGGAACCCATCTTGGAGTTTCGCTTGCACAAGATTTCACAAGCCAATTATGTCGAATCAAAGAATTGTTCTAGGAATCAAAAAGTATAAAGAGCTAGAGAAGACTTCGACTTTTTACAGTGCTACATCTACATGATGCCTTTTATGTTAAAAAGAGAAAGTATTAGGCCATGTTAATACTCCTACTATGTTCTTTTTCAAACCCGCTCAGGCTATGGCCTTTGGGTGTAAAAGTAGGCCTGATCGGGCTTCTTCAGGGCCGCTTTTTTTAGACTATTTTAACCATACAAAAAGAAAATTACAAAGCTCTTGGAGCATTATAGCAAGATTTTAAATGGATCTTTTGCAGTCATAGTTAACTTCTCATGCAGCCATGCTTATTTATGGTGAAGATGAAACCTCTTTCATATATGACTATGTAGGAGATTTGGGGCATGTCCTGTTATTTTGGTAGTTATTTCCTCTTTAATTGTTACAGACATCTTTTGTGATATCATGCTTCTTCCGCTACCTTGTTGTATAGCATATATTGGATATTCCCCTCAAGATAATGTTCCTCCTTTTATGCAAACTATTGGATTTATTGAAAAAAGAAAAGAAAAAAGCACATATTCCAGCTGCATATCTCTGCTTCATAAATGACCTCTATCTATTTTGATCCCTTCCAAGTTAATTACGATGCAGAACAAGAGGCACCTCCTGCTCCCCTCCAAGACAGTTCTCCATGGAGGAGAGAGAGAGAGAGATGAAACAGTGATGCACATAGCAAGAAACCAATGTACCTTTAACTCCTCAGCCATTAACTCATTATTGGTATTCTGAATTCCACGTTTCACCGCAATTTTAGCAACCATGCTTTTCTCCCAAAGTTGAACTATAGCAGCTGCCAAGCCCTGATGATTCCTGTTTCTCCCTTTGCAGTGAAATATCAAATAAAGATACATGTCAGATGCAAATGTAAGAAAAATCAAGTAATTAACTAGTGAAGGATTCAGTACCAAGAGCAAAATGACAAGGAAGTGATTTAGCAAGTTTCCGCAGATTAGTCATCTCTGCATTGGTCAGTCGAGGCCTCATTCCGGTAGGAAGAAGCCTGAAAGGAGTTTTGAAGCCAGGGATGGTCTGTGGAAGTAAATCGGCATCTACTGGAAGTATTCCTGTGCCCCACCATTCATAAAATCGTGGACCTAAGCCATCTAGCACGCTACTAAACTCAGCTTCCTCTTCTGTCATGCTCTCAGCACGGCCTGCAAGAGCCGGTGTTCTTGTAGCAAGACTAGTAGCAGCAGAGTCGCCATTTCTTGTTATTTGATTATTGGCAGAGGAAACATCCGGAACAAAAAGAGCATCGCCATCTCTTTCACTAGATTGAGGTCTTGAACAAGGGCCAGCATAATTAACTCCCCTAAACACCATCATGACACTTCCAGATTGCCATATGACTAATCCACCTGTTCGACGCTGGTCATCAGCAAGTTTAGAGTTAATTTGGAAATAAATTGTGAATTTCATAGCCAGAAGCCCAGAACAAAATACATCATCATAGAAATTACTTCAAATCGTATATTTTTTATGGATTAAGGATATCATATTAAGATCTAACAATCAGAATCTTACAAATCAGACATGTATTATAACAAAAAGAAATAGAATCATAAACATGGGCCCAAATCAGATCAAAATTCTAGCACACCCCTCAAGGGCAACTGCATACACATGGAGAGCTATATTTAGTGCATACTTATAACAAAAAGAAACCTGAATTATGACACATATTGGGGCCGGCAATATAAGAAACCAGGAAGACATGAATTGATGACATCGATCAATGTTATGTCACAATCTCATCCACAAGTTTAAAGTTAAAGATGAAGCCTCAACAGTCTTATTGAGCTTTAAAATTCTATTCCACAGATATGTGCCTTCCTAACTTGTATTTGAATTCTTCTTTTCTGTTTCCTTAACAGCGCTGGCCCATCTCAGCATCCTTAAATATTTGTATGTATATTGTTCCATAGCACTCTGAATATATATATATATATATATATATATATATATATAGTGTCCTATAAATTCCCACCTAGGACTGCTCAAATGGCCAAGGCCACCTAAGGGGCTGTTTACCAAATTTTTACTAAGTCTTGTATGGATAAATTTGTCTGTCTGGATAAATGGGTGTTGTTGTTTACTTTTTTATCTGAACCAACAGTCTGAATAACATAAATGACCGATTTACCCGCCAATATTAATTACTTGAACATCAAAACAAAAAATCATAAAGAGGCCGAAGATGGGGTGTCTCGTATAGGAAGGAGGCGGTGCTTTAAATAAGGGGTAGGGGTGTCATTTTTGTGGCTGAATGGGGACAACATACCATTTCTATCTGTGTGAATAAGCCGTAATTAAACAACCCAAATGAGCTGTGCGAATAAGCCAGATAGACTAATAAGCCTAATTAAGCCGCAAGTAAACAGCCCCTAAGCTTTATATGCTCCCATCCCTCCAACTAGTTAACCTCTTAATTGGCTGACTAGGAGCTATGCTGTTAAAATCGGGATATATCGGATATCGGACTCGGAGAAAAAATCGGTGGTGAAATATCGGTCAAAATAATATCGCCGATATTTACCGATATTTTGATGGAAAAATCGGACCGATATTTTGATGGAAAAATCGGTCCGATATATCGACTTTCTATAAGACAAATGTTTGAGCTTTTCTTATTACATGTTGGGCTTAGTTTTTCACTTTTTTGGGCTCTTTATTTGGTCACATATATTAGGTCTCAACTCTGACGCTTCTTCACAATTCACCCTTATCAGTTTATATGATGTTTTAATTTTGAAACTATATTTCTAAACTCTAATTAATGCATATATGTTTATGGATGCATGCATATAATATATATATATATATATATAATTCTAAGAAATATTATATTAACAACTATTTTGGACTGATATATCACCGATATAATAGATATATCGAATATCGGTCCTGACCGATATTTTGTATTTTGACCGCAGTAACAACATATACTAGGAGTTAAGCATCCTACCACTTCAATTAGCAACTATTTGTGAAACTAAGCAACTTGAAGGGAATTTTTACAATCTTATCCAAGTAATTGCATGAGTGGTACAATCCAACTCAATATTTAGAGAAGTAATCTTATCAAAATAATATAGTATCAAAATTTTAGTTTTCATATGTTTACATAGTTCAGAAATAAGTATACTTTATATATAAATGAACTTTTATGCTTCCGCTTAATCCTGTCTTAGGTGGTTTAGCACTGGACAGTCACTCGACCAGGCATTCACTTGATCCTCGCTTATATCTTCCTTCATCTTCTGAGTTTAATCTTCTAAGAGAATCAGTATGTTGCATGTGTTGTAAGAAGCAATAAGCAATTAAGATTTCTTAACATAGCAGTGAGTAGCAACACAATTACTTAAAGTGAAAATGTCTGATCCAACTGTATACAGATTAATACTATAAGGTCTCCGTGGGACTTCATTGGGTAGAAGAATTTGTATACTAAGTAAAACTTATCAGTATCAAATCAAAGTATACCGGTATGTATTAGATGTCAGCATGGCAAGCCCACAACATGCAAACATAATACACACTTTGGAGGAAAAATGATGATGTAATATGCAATGTGTGTTCCTAAAGAGAGACAATATTACAAAAACCTTACTTGTTACTAGTCAAGAAGGGACATTTACCCCAGCACGTTGCGATTAGAGAATATGAGTCAGAGAGTGCAAAACAAAATTGAATGATACCGACAACTGTTGAAACCTCTGATCCTGCTGATGCCTATACATATACTGATATACATCCAGAACTTCTATACGGTATATCCCATCGGAAGGTGGGGTCAGGGGAAGGTTGGATGTATGCACACCTGATCTCTACCCCAAAGACTAAGTGAAGACCCTCGGCTTGTGAAACTGAAGAGTGTGTGAAAAAAGGGAACTCATCCCCAAGCCTCAACATGTTATATAACTTGAAAAACCAAATCAATATCCAGTTAACTGAGAAAGGTATTATATATAAAGCAGTGGTCATGCTCTGGTAAAGACCAACCAGGAAAAACAAGTAATTTCATTTGGGATCTGTTGTACCAATCTATAAGCATTGTAAGATAGTAGTTCGACTAACATCACTATGGCCATTTCGTTCATACTTTATAAGGGTTTTTTTACATTTTGTAAACGATTATATAGGAATAAACAATGTAAATGTGCTGTAGAACTACAAACACATGCTTTCAGTAGAAAATATCAACCAACCTGAACAATTTCATGAGCAGTTTTCATATCACGAGCTAACACCTCGTGAAACTTGAGTCGAACCAACTCCGACTTCCTCCACTGGTCATGGATCTTTTCGAGAACAGGGGCGGTGATCCCTGCCTTTGGCACTGTAATCCTTTCCCGGATCATTGTGCCCACTGTCCTCAACCTCCTCAACTCTGAATCCTCAAGTGTTAGCTCAGCCAATGTTGGTGCTTTCATGGTCCTCTTTTTCACCCCTCCTATTTCATTCCCTTCCTCGTTATTTCCCTCTTGCTCTCTCTCCCATGGCAGAACCGTCCCCTCGTCTTCATCATCAATCAACATTTTATCTGGACGAACCCAGTCTCTTCTTAACAAATCTCGCAATTTCTCGTCTCCCGTCAAAACCATTTCCGAATTCAGGAATTCATTTTCCTCCTCTTCTTCATCATCATCTGATCCCAATCCTAAGTTCCGCAGCCGAAGAACAATCCGGTCAATGGCAGTGGTCTTGGTTGGAACACCATCGCCAGCACCTTCAGAAGAATGCCGGGCTTCGGACCGTTTTCCAGATTCACGTTGAATAGAAGGGTTTGGTGGTGGAGAAGACCAACTGTTTAGCCATGGGGAAGACGAAGAAGGATTATTGGCGGTAGTAGTAGTAGTAGTAGTAGTAGTAGTAGAATTATCAGTTGTTGAACGAATTGAAGTGAAGGGTTTGACAAGAGAAGGTTTCAGAAAAGAAGAAGAGGAAGAGGAGAAGAAAAGTAATCGAGAGTTAGCAGCAGGGAATGGGAATATGAATTTTGTGTTGCGGAGTGGCACTTCTGTTAGTTTCATGGTCGATTATTGTTGGTGGTTTGTCTACTTAAGTGTCATTCCACCATTCTCGGCTGTCGGATATGGCGGAGGACGGCGGTGTTATTGTAACCGGAGAGAAAAAGGCAGCGTCTTTGAGTGAGAATGGGAGGAGGATAAGATGTCTCGTGCTTGATACGAATTTTAAATACGGATTTGGTCCCTCCGGTTTGGTCATCGGCGAGTTTTGTCAAAATAACTTTTATTTATTATAATTACGGATTTGGTCCCTCTGGTTTCGTCATCGGTGAGTTTGGGAAAAATGGGCCCCTAAAATATTGTAGAAGAGGCTCGTCGTTTCTTATTTTTATAACGAGTTGGTCCCTCATCCTTATGGTGGTAACCGGTAATGTAAGGTGACGTTTGGTTCACATAATGTTTGGGATGTAATGGAATATGTTAATAGATTTTGACTTTGAATGAATTGGAATGAAATGTTATCAGGTTTAACTACTTGTTTGGTTGACAGAATTGGAATGAAATTTATTAAAAAAATTGGAAACTTGTTTGTTTGATTCACATAATGTAGCTTTAAAATTGGAATAAAATTATGATAAATGACTAAAATACCTTTTTTAATAAATATAATTTGTAAATAAATGCATTCAACAAAACATATTTGTAGAGAACTATAGACAAATCTTTTGTATTCACCATCCTAGATTTATTAAAATAGATTTTTACACAGATCATACAAAACAGATTATATACAGATTCGTAAAGATTTATATACAAATCTATTAAAGATCTATACTTCAAATCGAGAAGAGAAAGCAGATTGCAAAAATCGAGTTCAAATCTCAAAATCGACCTGCTTAATCGATGGTTTCTGTAATGTTGAAGTCTGGTATATGATAGAAATCGACCAGACAGAAATCAGCGACAAAGAAATCGACCACACAGAAAATGAACAAAGACACATTAAGTAGAGAGTGCGATGGAGAACCCAAATAAATTGAATAGAGGTATCAGGCATAAGTCGAACTTGGTTATGTGATTGAAATCTGGTTTGCAATGGAGTGCGATGGAGAACCCAGAAGAAATCGAGTTTGGAGGTGTCAACTTCTTGTTTATCAGATTAGGTCATATTGTGTTTTATGATATTAGGTTATATTGGGGTGAGGGTATATTTGGTATAAGAAAATAGAGAATTTCATTCAAACAAAATACCATGTAGTTGTTAAAGAATGTTCAATTCCTTTGGTTGTGGAATGTGATGGAATTTAGAGATTCCTTCTAATGTGAAAGTAGATGAAACAAAGTCATTTCCTTTTGTTAAGCAGAATAAGAAAAAAACAATTATTCTAGAGTTGTAACGGATGAAAAACAAGTGGAATGGTTTGATCAAAAAATATTATGTGAAACAATTAATCCGTTTGGCTAATGGAAAGATTTGTTGTTCTAATTGTGGTTGGAATTATTTTGTTTCTTTTACTAATTTTTTTTTGTGTGGTACATATTCTGTTTCTAATTCTTCAAAGACCATATATCAAATAAGGACATCTTCTGTGAATAGTTGGTTTGGTACTTACAACATACCACAAACCAAATCTAACATAAAAGGACCCATCACTAAGTGGGTACCTAAATTGAAGTAATTTGTGTTGCAGGTTAACTGCCATGTGTGGTTCTTAGACTCAGGATGCTCTAAACACATGATTGGGAGGAAAAAGTTATTGTCAAACTTCACAGATACTTATGGAGGAAATGTCTGTGTTAGACCCCATAAGTCTTATGTGTGGAAGTAATGAAGACAAACAAGTGATGAAGAACAAGAAGGCCGATGGAAGACTTTAAGGCAAAACGACTAAGTCTGAATAACAACCAGAGGGTCGATAAACTGACCAGAGATGCGATGGAAAGAGCATCTTCATAGCCCCTCTGGATACCAACACTTGGAGTTTTCCACACTAGTTCAACCAGAGGCATGCAATGAAGATATGAAGATAAGGTTGAACTAACGCCCCATGGAAGACAGCTGGAGATGACAAATCAACAGCTGGATTCTACAAAGTTTATCTTGTTTTGTTAATTATCCATGTTTAGATAAGTTTTATCTTTCCCTAGAAGACTTGCTAGATAATCTCACTAGATAGTTATCATCTAGTCTAGATTACTAGTATAAATAGGTGGTTAGGCCTATTGTAATCTTTGACTCTTTTACGTTTTTCACAATCATTGAAATAAAGTGAAACCTTTGACACTCAAGTATATTCTTTGAACGTTCATCAATTGTTCTTGAGTGTTCATCATTTTATTCATCCAAACTATATAATTAGGTTATTCTTAACTTAATTATTAGTGTTATTGAGAGACCTGGGATCAACAATTGGTATCAGAGCCAATTGATTGTTTTTTCAATCAAAACGATCATTAAAATCTCTCAATTCGCATTTTCATTCATAAAAATTCATAAAAGATCTTCTCTAAAAATGTAAGTTTTCTCTTCCAAATCTTAAATGGCCAACTCGAATTTCACTTACAGTGTTGGTTCCCTCACCAAACCTCCAACTCTTCAAAGAGAAGAGTAACCACAATGGAGGATAAGGATGGTAAACTTTTTGGAAGGGATGGACAAAAATCTTCTGCGATCTGTCATGGAGGGTCCCTACATTCCACAGACTCTTGTTCCAAGAGTCCCAGGAACAAGCACCACAGCAGAAATTCCTGCCTACTACATGCCCAAGGATGAGAAGAATTGGGATGAAGATGATATAGAGCGCGTGGAGACTAATAAGAAGGCCAAAAGACTAATCATCATGGCCATTCCTAATGAAATATTCCAATCCCTCGATGCATGCTCCACAACAAAAGAAATTATGGGATGAGCTGGCAAGCCAATTAGAAGGAGGAGCAAAAACAAAGAAAAATCGTAGAGCTCAATGTCTCAACAAATATACCAACTTCAAGGCTCTTCCTGATAACCGATTCAGAAGACGTACGATCGTTTTAACACATTGATAAATCAATGTCGTCAAAATGATATCTCCAGGACGAAGGAAGAAAATAATGTTTTATTCCTTAAAAGTCTCGGCGATGAGTGGACACAGCTGTCGATGTCTCTCCAAGCAAATCAGGACTTAGACGGCTGGTCACTTCATGACTTGTATGGAATGTTTGCTGCACAAGAGCAAGATATCATGAAGAAGAAAGTATCCATCAGTGGACCCCTTGCTCTTGCTGCTGAAGAAAATGATGTTTCAAGGACCTCCACCAGAGACCACAAAAAGAAAGGAAAGATATCACTGGTAGTAGAATCAGAATCTGAGGACATGACATCCGAATCAGATGATGATATCAAAGCCTTTGCCAAGTCTCTGGCCTTGATTACAAAATAGTTCCAGAAGAAGTTCATCAAGAAGCCCTATGAACGTAGAGACTTCAAAAAGGAGAAGTACCAGCCATCCTATGAAAAGAAGCCATCAAAATTCTATCAGAGGGAAGACAGAAGAGATGGAAGAGAAGATAGAGAAGATAGAAGAGAGGAGAAGAAAAAAGACCGAGACGGAAGGAAAAATGACCTTCGCTGCTTTAGGCGCGGAAAAATCGGTCATTTTTCCAAAGAGTGCAAAGGACGACTGGTGAAGGAGGCTGATTACTACAAGAATAAATATAAATACAATCCAAGAGAGCGAAGCCTGATGGCTGAAAAAGAAAATTGGGTGTCTGATTCCTCATCCGATGAAGAAGACAAGTCACTCATCTACCTAATGGCCACGTCCAAGGCAGAATCCACCTTTGATACTGATGATCAGGTATGTGAGTCTTCTATCGATGAAACCAACTCTACTCCATTTGAGCTAGAGTTAAGGGTAATAAAACTTTCAGAGGAATTCTTGAAACTAAAAGAAAAATTAAATTTTGAAAAATCTGAAAGACTAAAGGCGGAAAAACAAGTCAGTTTCTACAAAAGAGAGACTGATCTTCTAACCGAAGAAAAAGCCGAACTTATCAAGGAAAAGACTCGCATTGCCACTCTTAAAAAATCAGAGGAAGAAAAACTTCTGGATTTAAACAAGTGAATAACCAAGGACTTAGAAAAGAAGGCAAAGGCCTTAAAAGAATCCGAGGCAGAGAGACTTAACTTAGTAGCTCTCAAAGATTTCTTTCAAAAAGAAAGGGAGATTCTTCACCAGAAGCTTCAAACCAATGAACTTCTGATGAAGAAATATAAGGATGCCCAAAATGTGTATGAAAAACTAAACGGACAAAAGACACTCAAGGGATTGGATTCAATGAATTGGACTCCTTCATCGAAACAAAGAAATCCATCCTTGAATCCACTTTCAAACTTGGATGCATTCAGAAACCCGACTTTTCCCCGAAACTTAAAGCAAATTTTAAAAGAGTTAAAGTCGATGGAAAAACTGTCCTCTTGAGACAGGATTTTGAAAACGTGGTGTACGAGAGCAGTACATGTAAGAATTCTGATGAAGGGAACGACACCTCCACATCAGAGACCGATGGAAACCCTATGGTTAAATCAGAGTCTCTGGTCGTCAATCCCACTTCATCATCAAGTGCTGTTGATGAAAAGGAGAATCTTAGTAAGGAACCGTCAGCTGATGAAACGATGAACCATCCAAGTAATATTGGAAGTTTGTCTAAGTCAGAAACGATGGAACCCCCAACAGATCACTTTGAAGCATCAACCTCTGAACTCACACCTCCCACAAACATCCATGATAATTTTGATTTCGAGAAATCAGCAAGAGACTTTCTCGATTCTGAATCTGAAGAAGAGATAGTATGTGAATCACCAAAGATCATTGAGAATAAGAAGCCTAAAAAATTCAAACCCTCAATGAAATCTGATGTTCCACCATCAATGAAAACTTCAGACAAAGGAAAGGGAAAGCTGAGCAACATTAAATCTGCTAGCGATCACAAGGCCCAAGTACTTCTTCTAAGTTCATTAAGTTTACTCGTGAGCAAAAACAGAAGTGGCCTGCCTCTGAGAATTCTAACCACCACTTTTCCTCTCATTCAGCTGAAGAAAAGCAGTCCTTCCTCAGAAGTAAAGACCAAGACCTCCACAAATAAAAAAATTGAATTAGATAGGAAGTTTGTAAAAACAACCGAT